TGACAAAAGATTTTTTAAAATTTCTAAGTTACCTTATAAGTTTTATAAAGATATTAGAATTAAACACCTTTAGATATATATTTAATAACCTGCCTCTATTGAAAGGAACACAATTATACAAAGGCATAATTAGTCTTCTGCTAATGGCATATTATTTTACTTTTTGCTACTTGAAAAAACAGCTTTGTTCACTGAAAGTTTGTCATTTAAAGTTTTTATCTAGCACCTCTTGGTGAGATTAAAATTCACTTAAACATCCTAAGAAAATTTACAGCTGTAATGGACCTCAGTGATGTTCCCTGTCTCTTTCTTAATCCATGGGTAGATGACATATTTTAGAAGAGTGGGAGCAGGAAATGGATTTACGCATTTTCTTAGGTTGCTTACTTTTATGTCTAAAAATTTCCATAATAAAAAGTTTTTGGTTTGGGGGTACCTGGGTGTCTCAGTCATTAAGTGTTAAGCGTTAAGCATCTGCCTTCGGCTTGGGTCATGACCCCAGGGTCCTGGGATGGAGCCCCGCATCTTATCAGGCTCCCTGCTCTGCGGAAGCCTGCTTCTCCCTCACCTCCTCCCCCTGATTGTGATCCCTCTCTTGCTGTCTCTCTCTCTGTCAAATAAATAAAATCTTAAAAAAAAAAAAGTTTTTGTTTTGCCTGGATGAGCCACATACACTCAAGCCAGCCTCAGCCCCGCCTATAGGGAACAGGTCCATTCCCTGTCACACTGAGAAAACTCAGTTTGGGAAGCTTACCAATAGCTATTCAGATCTAACAATACAAAAACAGTCTTCTCCAACTTCTTGTAAAGCTTTTGAGTTTCTGCAACAGAAACGTTTTTCACAAATTATATCATATTTTACTCAAGACAGTGAAAATCTGGATTTAAACAACATGGAAATTTGCTCAGAAGTGCACTATAAAGCTATGATATCTCTCATCTGTGACTGAGGTTATTTTATGTGAGCCCTTTGCCTTAAGCTTTAAAGAGTGGCTTATAAAAAAAATGGCTTCCTTGCAACAGTAAACTGTACAGAGCTGATGTACAACTGAGAGTTCTTTGGTTGGCTATTAAAATGTATCCAATGTTTACCTTTTCATGACTTTGAATACAAATGATACTTTATTTTCAGCAGACCTATTTTGTAGAGCCCCACTTGGAGGTTTAACTTATCTTTTAATACTGTCATCTCAAATTTTGTTTGATACTGAAACAAAATTTAGGGGCCCCTGGATGACTCAGTTGTTAGGCAGCTCCCTTGGGCTCATCAGGTCATGATCCCAAGGTCCTGGGATTGAGCCCTGCATTGGGCTCCCTGCTCACTGGGAGGCCTGCTTCTCCCTCTCCCACTTTGCGAGCTTGTGTTCCCTCTCTTGCTGTGTCTCTGTCAAATAAAAAAAAAAATCTTTTAAAAAAATATTTATACGAGCAGATGGAAAATATCTTCAGACTAAACCAGTGTCTCTCGCAGGGGGACTATCTACCCCTACGCATTCACTTGGTAAAATCTAGAGACATTTTGGGGTGTGACAGCTCAGGGGAACTAATGGCATCTGGTGGGTGGGGGACAAGCGTGCTGCCGAACAGCCTATAAAACACAGGATTGTCCCTCAGAACAAAAAATGGCCTGGCCCAGAATGTCTGTAGTGTCGGTGTCCAGAAATCTCCACTAAAGTGAGTGGATGCCTGGAAACATCCCTTCCAGCTGCCGTTCCGGGGGGCAGGCCATGGTCTTGTCTGGCCAGCACAATTCATGAGTAGGGACCCCAGGGCTCCTTCATAGGGATGAAGAATGCCGTGGACACATGTATGCACGTGATATAGATGAGACCGTGCTTTTATCATCAGAAATCAGGTTCACATCATGATTTTCCACTTTCTGGCTTTTACTCTCTTGTGGCATATATGTTTTATTTAAATGCTTACTAGTGGGAGTTACTCATTTACAATTTGCTGCAACATTGGACTTTCTCGAGCACTGGGATGATTTATGGGCCCTGTAAGATGGAATGAAATCTGGAGAGTTATTGGAAAGTGGGGCTGGCAGAGGGGCCAGCTGGGAAAACTGTCACCTGGGAGGGTTTGCCTGGAGGAAGAGATCCATGGCTCCACGCCCTGCCTCAGGGCTAGTGCCAGAGCCCAGGGACCAGTTAGGCTGCATCCGGCCTGCTTCCCTCATCTAATTCCAAGAAACTTTGAATAGACTCCTCAAATGAGCTATGAAACCGCAGCTAAAACTCTCACACGGGACCCTTCTGTGATTATCCTTCCAGAAGTCGTGGTGGGGGGGAAAATCCCTAGATTCATTTATGCTTAAGGATCATGGGAACTTCTGAGGGTGGCAAGACAATTAGCTACTTCTAATCTGACTACAAAGTTGTCTTGCCAAAGGGTGTCCCAGCGGAGCAGTAGCTTCCCTTTAGAAGCATATTTCTTTATTCTTTCTCAGTGGCTCTCAATCATGGGTGCACCTGAGAATCAAATAAGTAGCTACAAAAAAAAAAAAAAAAAAAATCCCGTTTTTCAAATCAAAATGGTCCTCAAATTTAATCCTCTCAAAAACTGAGGTTAGGAAATTCTGAGTGGGATGAAATTTCTGATATTAAAACCAATGAAGAAGAAAATTGGCTTACATGTGTGATCTCTCCCTGGACTGACTTTGTAGAGCTCTGACCACAGAACAACACTGAAACGCTGGGAAGGATGAAGGTCTTCAGTTAGATAAGAAGGTCTGTAAGGAAATAGTTGTGGCACAAACTCTTCCATGGTTTAAAAAAAAAAAAAAAAGTGATGCTTAAAGAAAAAAAAAGAGGTTGAAGTCAGACATGACAGTTTTCATGAAAGTCAATGTTTGTAAAGGAATCTAAGGGTCCACCTGAGTTTGGCTGGTGCTGGCAGAAGATCTATTTCTATCTTAGAATGGATAGAATCCATTCACAATATTTACATCAAAGTAGACTGCTGACTTTTAACAACTTCTTATGTAAATTCTCACTTTGCCTTTCCTTGCAGACATTCTGGCCTATGAGATGTGGCCAACTTCAGTGAGAAAGCATCCTGGGGATGGGAAGAAACAGTACCACGGTCTTTATAGTGCAAGACTTTGTGTGCTTTGCATGCATTTATCTTAAAAAATCTCCATGGAACATGACTATAAGTTTTTTGAAATAATTATTTGAAAAGTGCTAACTTCGGTGACAAGCTAAAAAGAGTACTAACCAAATAAAGTTGTAGGAGTTATTCCCCAATAAAAATAATAACCCAGAGCAGAGATACCAAATGATGAAGTTCTGTTTTTCTCTGAATGGCGGCGAGCAAGTCAGGAAACATGGTTCTGTTTCCCACACACACTTTACATTCCTTGTCCTGGCTGTGTCCTACGGTCTACCTCTTTGTAGTGATTTTTTTAAATTGAATTGGTATATATAAAACTAAAATTTTATGAGTTTGTTTGATTTTTTTTTTAACTTGGGGGAAAATGGATGATTGATCCAATCAAGTGTTTACAATTTATGGAAAAGGGTGTCTCAACCATTATATGAAGGCGACATTTAGCCCAACGGCTGCAGTACGTTTCTTTATCTGTAATTCCACTTGCTGAAGTCGGTGTTTTTTCCAACAGACTCACTGAGGAATGCTTCTTGCACACATAGGAAACTGAACCAAAAATAATACTTCTATGCCCAGGTATGGTAATGAGTACAGCAAAATCCCATACATTTACAGGACACATTAGCCCCAAGGGTAAAGTTACACACAATGTGCAACTGTCAGCCTTGGCTGAATCAGTAACTACAAAATGGACAAATTTTTTTTTTTTTTTTTTTTTGCAACAGTCGGTTGGCATGGTCAAGTTTAGTCAGTTAAACACATTTCATAAGTTGTTTATTTGCGACATTGATTCCATTTACAATACTTGGTGGGGTTTTTCAAGGTTCTTCATCACTGTTCAGCTAACACCTAGCCTCCTGCCTAACGGCCCGTGATAAACACTGGGTCATGATTTGCTGAATCAACAGTGACATCACAGGAGTCCATTCCTGATTACAGCCAGTTTAGCACGTCACAATCTTCCTTCATGTTCCCAAACCTCACTGATTTACACATTGTTTTTTGTACGACCTTAAGATTCATGCAAACAGAACTTTCCTGTATGTAAAGTGAGTGACAAGCAGGTCTTGTGAGTGCCATCTGCCCAGTGCTGGGGGTCTTTGCCCATTTTAGAATGTGAGCTAAGAGAAAGCTGCTTTTAATAAAAACTGACGACAACAGTGACAAAAATAAGGATATAATATTAAAATAAATCAAATGTTATACAATACTGTCATTATTCTGATACAGAATTTTTACACAGCAATATTGATATAGGTACACATGGCAGGATGTCAGGTAATCCATTATAAGAGATCTTCTGGTTACAAATGAAGTTTAAATTACAACTTAATACCAATTTTAAAATGGTAACGGGGGTTATGCCAGATTAAAATCAATACTTCCTCTTCAAGTGGCATTTTCTGGAACATCTCTGTGAGACTTCAAAAAAAAAAACTTCATAAAGAGAAAGATAAATAAATGTAATGTCATATTGGAAAAGTTTTTATTTATTTATTTTTTTTAAACCAACCCAAATCTAGATATATGGACTAACTTGACTTTCCCTTCCCTCTGGACTCACTCACACCTGTCACACAGTGGACCTGAAGTCTTGTTGCATGGACAGGTTCCGTGAAAGTTTGGAAGCACTCCAACCTCTACTCCATCTAGAAGTCTGGAGTGTCTAGTTCAACTACACACCTTTTACTGTTTAAGTATCAGGCAAAAAGCTCGAGTCTCAACAGTGATTCTGCGAGCAAATTAGAGCCTGTGGAACAACCCTGCTCCCCACTTTCAAAGGCTAGAGGACTGGTGAGGGAAATGGGGAAAATAAAGTGAGAGCCTTAAAAATTCTTTGAAGACAGAAAAGAGACCCCAGAGTGTGTGTATATGTGTGTGTGTGTGTGTGTGTGTGTGTGTGTGTGTGTATGATGGGCAGGGCTGGTGGGAGAGGGTTTAAGAAAAAAATTTCCTGTGACAAAATATCAAATTCTTATTCTTCTCATTTCTGTGAAAATAGGTGAGTTATTGGCATTAAAAGAGCCCAGCCAAATCAAAACACTGACGGGAAAATGAGAACTGGTTCCATAATGCCCTGCACTTTACATTCATATCCAAAATTAAAATCCGCTTTGAATTAAAAAAAAAAAAGTCATTTAAACATCAAAGATAGAAATGTTACTTGGATAGCCGAGGAAGCAACAGCATTTCTTTCTGGCATATTATTTGTTTGGCACAATCACAAGTAAATAGACTTTACAGACATCATGTGGCTGTTCACATTTAAAGTTTCTACTCTCAAGTGATTACTTTCGGGCTAAACAAATAAATCGATTAAATGAAGTCCGTAAACAGGCTAAGCCCGGCATACATGGACACGTGTGATGCATTCTTCGCCCAAAAAATGGAACCTAAGACAGAAGAAGGAAACTGAGTCAGAGAAGGAAATGTTAAAAAACAAAACCAAAAAACCTGATTCTGGAGAAATCTCTTTGAATAAGAACAAATAGTGTTACCTGGAACTCTTAATTAAGCAATATGCTCTGCACTTTATTATCCTTTTTCATCCCACAACCACTCTGTGAAGATGACAAATGCTTTCATTATACCCATTTTACAGGCGAGAGACTGAGACACAATGAGATCAGCAACTTGCCCAAGCTCACAGACGCAGACCTTGAAGCTTGGATGGCAACTGGACCAGAGAGACCAAGCTTTTAACCACCAAGCTATACTACCTTTTACTTCTTCATTTTAATTCTCTTTATAGCATCCTATTAATAAGCTCCTTAAGGAGGGCATGACATTAAGGGTATGACCACAATTATATTATAATGAGTAAATACGGAGTCACTGAAAACAAGCAATGTATAAATTCACACATTTGCACACAGATGGCAGGAGGGGTCAGAATTCTGAGCAGTGTGGGTAGGGGAGGAGCAAAAGGGAAACTAGGGAAGGAGGCAAGCCTGAGTCACAGAAAAGGAACAAACTAAACCCCGGCCCAGGGAGAGCTAGCAGAGAAAGGCTGGCTTCATTCTAAGAGGCATCCAAGTGGTATTTCTGAGTCTTGCCTATGCCACCAGTGAAGCAGGGTTGAGGGGGGTCAACCAGCAACTAGCATCATGGTTCTGTCTCAGGGCCAGTGGAGTCCCTCAAAGTACATATATGTTCCAGAGGCAAAGAACAAAATTCATTCTCTGCCCTGGGGATGGTGCCCTCTTGAGACTCGGCCTCCTTGGGAAGTTAGAGGGAGAGATTTTCCCCAGGCCTGGAGGCAATAGTTAGTCAAATGTAATGGGACAGCAAATTACTCTGGTCCAGGATAAGTTGAGAGAGGCAAGCTATCAGAGACTCATGCCTCAGGGATCCTTCTACGGTTTACACAAAGCAGAAAAATGCATCCTGTTTCTCAACTCTGCTGTTTTTTGTCTGCTCTCATTCTATCATTCTAGTGTATTTCCTAGTCTATGCCACCAAGAGAGGTCAGCCCGTACCAATTATCTGTCCTAATGAGAAAGTCTGAGACGCATCTTCCAGATGCCTTTGAAATAATTCCTTTGTTCGTAGAAAAAAACTGCCTGCAGACAGTGACAGAACCATTCTAACCTTATTTTGGGGCTGAACTAAGAGGACAGACTCAACTGTATGGTAGTCCAAACAGTGGTCAGGGCTCAGTACACCGGGCACTATCTTTGGGCGGGCACCGTGCTCATGTTCCTCTTACCTCCTTTTTCCTTTTTCTTCTCTTCCTCCTTCTTCTTTCCTGCCTTCCATTTCCAAAATGGTTCTGGAAGGACCAGGGAAATGATGGAGGTCAATAAATACAAAAAAAAAAAAAAAAAAAAGAGAGAGGGAAGCCACAGGTGGGCATTGATATGCACGTGGAGAAGCGGCAGAGCCACCCCAGGTTCCTCTGCCTTTTGACAAGGGCCTTATTGTCAAGGCTCTGGTGACAGTGCCTGCCTGCAGGGGCTGCGGCCCTCAATGCCCCTCAGACTCATGCTCAGAATGGTTCTGTCACTGTGTGCTCCAGGGGCACGTGGATGGCTGGCTCATTTCTGGGCCCTGAGAACGTGTCGGAGGAGGTGGGCCCAGCTGCACTGGCTCGGGTGATTACAAGGGGACAGCAGGAGAAGTTCCAACCCTGGACCTCTTGGATCTGCTCTAGCTGTGAGTCTCTGAGAGCTTCATTGTGTCACACCTAAGACCACTTTGTGGGCAGCTGAGGGTGACTCCATCCCCCCCCACCAGAGGACATCAGGTGGTATCCAGAGATACTTTTGTTTGTCACAACTTGGGGGAAGGAGCATGAGTGGTGGGTGGAGGCCTGGGGTGCTGCTAGACAGCCTTCAACCCAGAGGATGGCCGCCCCAATAGGAAGACCTCTCTGGCCCTAAGGGCCAACGATGCTGACGTGGAGAAAAATGAACAGAGGCAGCAACATCCGAGGTAAAGGAGGCTGACCTGAGCGAGGTGTAACTATAATGACCGCGTCAAACTGCTACACACGGACTACGCCAAGCAGCTTTTCTTCATCTGCCCATTCCACAGACATTTACTGTCCCCGGCCTACCAGGCCTTACATCACGTGCTACAGAGACAGTGAGAACAAAACAGGAAAGGCCTGGGCCCATCACGTGGCGTGAATTGTAGTGATGGAAGACAGAGGACCAGGAGGATAGTTTAAGCACCAAAGAAGCACCTTGGGGTGCCTGCCGTCCAGTGACGTGGGCCCCAAGGCACCACGGGCGCTCTCTGGCCTGTTATGTGCATTTCCTAGTCCCTTGAAAACAGTTGCAAAGAAAAATGACAGTGGTGGCCAGCCAGACCCAGGCTTCATGAGGCATCGTGCATGAATGTCACACCAATCTTGTACGCTAGCTTTTTGCCTTTTTTTGACCCAAGCTAAGTGGCTTCCTCTTGAGGTGAAGTGACACAGCTGACTGAGGTCACTCAGCTGAAAGGGAACCTGTCATCATCAAACCCAGCCCCACTTTCTTCCAGATTTTGCTCTTTTCTCAAATACCACTATTCCCCCCCCAACTCCAGGCTCTTTGAAGAAAGGACATCTCATTTGTGAACACGCGGCACTCAGCCTGGGACACAGGAGACGCTTAAGTGAATACTTGTTAAAAGCCTATCTCCTGTCAGTGACCCCTCCCCTCTCCCCAGACGTGCTCTGCCTAGAGGCAGAGGGGTGTCCTTCCCAGGTAATGTGGCTTCTCCTCACTCCATACACCACTGCCCGGCACTGAGCAGGCCCAAAGTGACCCATGCCACCAAACTCACAGAGAGGGACTCACGTGAAGCCAAAGACGCAGAGGGCCTTCCTGGGGATAGTTCCAGGATAGTTCTAGGGCCTAGGGAGCACCCTGGCAACGTGCTCCCAAGGTCATATGTCTCTGTGAATCTTTCAAAAATATCACGGATTTTCCTTTTTCTTATTGAAGGTGACAAGGTACTATTGGCCTTAGCCCAGATCTGCCCCAACAACCTTGACATCGTGATCACACTGTCCTGCAGGGATCTTTATAACTTGCAGCCCTGTTCTTATTCTTCACAAGCCCACTCCCCCTTTGCAAGATCTGCTCTGTGTCTCTCCCCCTGCCAAGCCTTTTTACCTGTGCCCGCTCATAGCAGTTTTCCTCCTCTCCTTCTCTCGCCGTGCCCCTACTGACAAAGGGCACCATTTCTAATGTGATACACTTTCTCCACTGGCCCCTTCATTTCTAGTTCTACACATATTTTTCTTCTTGAAGATTTTATTTATTTATTTATTTATTTGAGAGAGAGAGACAGAGAGACAGAGATAGCAACAGAGATAGTGAGAGAGAGAGAGAGCACACAGGCACACACCAACTGGGAGCAGGAGGAGAAGCAGGCTCCCGGCTGAGCAGGGGGCCTGGCTCAGGGCTGGATCCCTCATGACCTGAGCAAGGCAGACATTTAACCGATGGAGCCACACAGGCATCCCCTAGTTCTACACGTGTTGTGTGACAAAGTCGATAGGCGTCTAATAGCCAGAGACACAAGAAAGGACACAGGAGAGGCACAGAGAGAGCCCGGGAGCCAACCGTTCCGTCCCAACCAGACGGTTTATTTTAGAATCAACTCACTCCAGCATTTCCACAAGCCCAGAATGCCAAACAGCAGATTCTCAAAGAAACCGAGGTTGGACCTGCAGTGCTTTCCACAAGGCACGATTCCTAGCCATCTGCAGCACTTGTAAAGAGAAGACAGTACTGACCCAAAACACATGTATTGTTTGTGATTTCTCTCAAAACAGAGTCAACTTTGCTAAAGAAAGAAATATAGAGAAGGCTGGTCATGTCACGTAGAAAGTGCTGGTCTCTTGTGGGAAGGAGGTTTGGGGTAGGAAAATGAGTGAAGGGGGTCAATTGAACAGTGAAGGATGGTGATCACTTTGTACTTCAGACAGATGTCAAATTACAATGTTGTATACCTGAAACTTATATAATTTATATACAATTTTACCTCAATAAAAAAATGACAATTTTAAGGAATGCCAGTTTTGTTACCATAACTTTTATCAATAAGTACACAGTTTAAAAAAATTTCAAATAGCATGATGGCACATAAAATACGAACTAAAGGTCTCACAGTTCCTGTCCCTCTCTCACAATTTCCAGCTTTGACAACTGGGAGGGTTGCCAATGTATTTTAATTTGGTCAATTCTTAAAATGTTTCTTCCAATGAAGATTGTATGAATAATTATATATTCATACAACCCTAAATAATGCAATGATTTATCTTCTTGTGCATAGAGGGTTACCATGGGATCTGGCCTCCCACTGCTCTGTGTCCTCGGAAAGAGTAAAGGAAAACAGGGAATAAGGGGGTCAGCCTCGTGGGTTGTGCGGAACTCGAGTTGGACTGGAGAAGCTGTTGGCTTGTAGGCCTGGGCCTCTGGGTCTAGAGAGGTGCAAAATATTTGCAAGAGTAAGGGTGGTAGCTTCTGTGAGTCAAGGGGAGCCTCCCCTTCCCCCGCTTTAGCTCTCAAGTGGGGCAGCTACAAGTATCCTGTTCGGAAGAGAGGGCAAGCCAAGCTGTGGGTTTCAGTAGCTGCTGAGCTCCCAATGCAATGATGCTGCTTCATCTCCTACACTGTTGTCCTGTGAGGCAAAGTCAATGTAGTGTTTGGCCAGGGGTGCTCAGCTAGGGCAAGGTCCATGCCCCAAACCGTCACAGTGACATCTGTCATAGTCTGGGGACATGGCTGGTTGTCACAACCGAGAGAGGGAGACTACTGGCATCATGTGGTAGAGGCCAGGGATGCTGCTGAACATTCTCTGATACATAGGCTTGTCCCTACCACCAAGAGCTGTCAGGCCCATACCATCAAGTTCCCGGGCTGAGAAACTGTATTTATGTCCCCTGAGTCTCTCTGACAAGGAACTTGTATTCACAGCAGGAATGCTGCCCTGAGAGAGAAAATGCAGATAATGGCTCTTGAGCTCTATGGTAGGAAAGATGAGGAAATTAACATATTGGGCTTTCATCCACCCAGCTTTCACTAAATTCTGTAGTTATATTAGTCATATTTTAATTAATATTTTTTAAGGTTATACTTTATCCTGGAAGTATGTTTACAATGTTTCATCATTGGTTGGTTCTAAAACAGAAACGGCTAATAATTTTTTAAATTTTTTTTTTTTTTTTTTAAGAGTTTCACAAGTAGGCAGAGAGGCGGGCAGAGAGAGGGGGAAGTAAGCTACCCGCTGAGCAGAGAGCCTGATGCTCTATCCCAGAATCCTGGGATCATGACCTGAACAGAAGGCAGAGGCTTTAATCCACTGAGCCACCCAGGCGCCCCTTTGTTTGTTTGTTTGTTTGTTTTTTACAAAGACAAACCCCAGGCTTTAATTTCAAATTTTTTTTCCAGAAAAGAAAAATACATTGGTCAAATCTTAAAGTGTAGCTAAAAAAAACAAAAGCAAAAAAACACGCCAGAAAACAAAAAGTTAAACTGATACTAAAAATGTTAACATAAAAAGTGAAGCAAAAGGGCACCTGGGTGGCTCAGTGAGTTAAGCCACTGCCTTCGGCTCAGGTCATGATCTCAGGGTCCTGGAATCAAGTCCCGCATTGGGCTCTCTGCTCAGCAGGGAGCAGCCTGCTTCCCTCTCTTTCTCTCTCCGCCTACTTGTGATCTCTGTCAAATAAATAAATAAAATCTTTAAAAAAAAAGTGAAGCAAAAACAATTTTGGGGGAGGAAACACAGTCGTTTAAATTGAAGAAAATTATAAACTAATAAGCAATAAAAATAAAAGTATTAACTACATAATTATAAACTTCCAAAGCCAAGCAGTAATCAGAATGGGATGGAAATAGCCAATCTTTGTAAACTCTGAAAAGTTTTAATAGAAATATTAAATAGTGGGATTTTTAAATAGCAAAATATTCCTTGCAGACATGATTCAGTAATTCATCCCTAAGTATTAAAAATGAATATATGTTAAGAATTTTATTTGACTAAAAATGTGTTTGGAAAACCTACATCCTGTTCTTCTTAAGTAAACTGATCTTTTATTCTACTTTTCAATTATCAAATGTAAATTTAAAAACTGTACAATTATAAAGGTATACCCTAGCAGTCACTGTAAACTCCACAAATTAGTGGATATATCTCAAATAAAATAGTAAACTGAACTCTGTGACTATCAATTCCTACCTGTAGTCTGCAATTTCATTCATCAAATATTACTCACTTTATCAAAATAAACAGACATTTGTGGCTATGACTAAGTCAAGCCAGAATGGAAAGTTTAAAATTTAAACAGGTGTAGTCTTGACTTATTCATAGACTTGTGTTTTTAAAACACCAAGCCCTGTGACCACAATCCCCCCTTAAGAAAAAAAAAAAAAAAAGGAAGAAAAAAGAAAGGAATGAACACATCATATTAAAATAGAATTTTCTATGCAGTGTCTATACTTTTACTGTTCACTGATGAACCATCAAACTACAGTTTGAAGTTGAATACTATATGTTACACTCACTAGGACACATTTACAAAAATTTCTTTTCTCAGGTTGTTTTGAATAGAATATAGCGGAAAGATAATCTGGAAGTAACTAGATTTTTTAACAGGGTAAGTTAATTTCACCCAGAACAAGTAACAACTCCAGGACCTACTTTAAAAATAGAAATGACATATGAAAATGTATTTTTAAGACAGAGAAGTATCCAGTAGGAAAAGGTGTAAAACTGAGTTCTAGAAACACTTTCCAAATGGGTGTCTGAATAGGGGAATATTTAAGAGCTGACATTAAAACCTTTCTCTTTTTTTAGTCTTTTAGTTCTTTTATCACTTAATTCTACTATGAAAACCATAACTTGTTATTAAAGACTTCGTTATTAAAACTGTGACTAAAAACAAAGGTGTAGAGGTGTACCTGGGTTTCCGGGAGAAGAATGGTATTGTTTACTCTCGGAAATGACCTTGCACTTCATATACTTGAACTGGAAGTTATTCAGGCACCAGGGAAAGAGAATTTGGTTCTCTTATTAAAATACCTCGGATTTGGAAAACTCATCAGAACTACAGGATGTGACAAATTCCCACGAGGGACCATTGTTTCTCATCCCACACCAACCAGCTTTGGTAAAGTGTTCAGGTAAACCCACTTTCAGGGTGGTGGGAGAGTATGGGGACTAACACCCCACAACCAGGGGAGCACCAGCCAGACACGAAGTCCCATGCTGCTGTGTGCCCTCTCACCTGGTGACCTCAGCCTGTCACTGAGTCCCTCTGAGGCTTACCGTGGTTGAATGCAGAATGTGCAAGAAATAAATGTGCCTCACGGGCTCGTTGTGTGAAACGAGAAACTCATATACAACATTTAGGGCAGGGTGTCTGGGACATCACAGTCCTCCACAAGGGACAACTGCGCTTTGCTATGGCAAAGAACAGTTGCGTATTCACTTGTTTTAGCAAAAAGGCTGCACAATTCTGGTATGCAGGGAGTGGAAGGGTATACCAACACTGCACAAAACCCACAACATTCTTAAAAGACTGAGAAGAAACTTTTCAAGGACAGTGGCTCCGATGTACAAAAGTTGACTCGCACTTTTTTAAGGGTGAGGGCAAAAGTGCCATCAGTGCCCAAGGTGGCTGGGCTGGTGTCACCTCCTCTCTGGGAGTCAGGCATTAAGACAGACCACTAACAGTTTACATCCTTTCCTGTCTTAAAGTGGCCAAAAATAAAAGGTGCATGTCACATGTGACAATGACAGTGAAGCCAAGGGGAGGGATGGTCTAAATGGAACAGGAAGTATTTCTCAAGGAAACCACAGGAAAGCCAAACTCAGTCTTCAGAGCAACCCAAACAAGTGGGGTTCCTATTACAGCTTAAATAGTGGGATTTAAGCTCAACAGAAGCCCATTTATTTCATTACCTTCACTCTGAGAAAGTCAAAACAGTAACTGTCATCCACAACTGTCAAGACAGGGAAGATGGTGGGCTCTACCACAGCTGTCCACCCTAAACCACATGTGGGGGGAAAAAAAGGTGGAAGGCAGAGTCCAGAAGGCAGACTACTTTGCAAACATTCCATCTCTTTTAAACAGGAGAGAACGCTGAGGACACACGCAGCTCTGTCTCCAACAAGCCACCTGGCCTGGGACAGGTCCCTCTGTGGCTCCCGACTTCCCTTTGTTGCTGGGTAAAACCAGGAGGTGGCGCTAGGGGAGCAAGACACAACCACCAGGCGGCTCTGGGGCATCTTACTGAGATCCCACTGTTTCAAGTTTTGATTCAGAAACGGCCAAGACTCTCCAAACTCCACATACCTTTCTACTCCCTTCTGCCTCTCACCCACCCCGCTTCCTGAAGTGATGTCGCTGACTGGCCTCGTGGATAGGAGTGTCTGCCATCCCACCTCAAAAGCACCATCCAATCCTGCCTACGTCAGGTCATGCCACTCATTGCCAAAACCGTTCAAAAGTGTTGTTTAGGTCATCGAGACACTGAGCTGTTAGATAACAGAAGAAGTTGGAAAATTAAGTATCATTAACCTCTACGATTACGAACAGTGTCCTGCACAGATGGAGTGAAAATAAAGGACTTTTAAATTAAGATACAAGGATAACTGTATCATGCATAATTTTCTGCAAGAAACAAAACACAGTCATTTACTTCTGCCTTATCAGTGGGTCTGATGCGAAAAGTCTTTTCAAGAACTTCTGTACTCCGATTTTGGCAGAAAGCATACACTGTACTACACACATGTATTTTTGTCCTAAATCCCTTTTAGGCAAATTCCCGTGTTTGAAATTATTTTTTTGAAAAGTTGCCAATGTCATGACAGCAAGGTTATGAAAACGATTCAGTAGAGTAATGATGGTAGAGGACCCAGTTCTTTAAAATGGGAGGCGAAAGGAGGGAGTTTTCCATTGCCGTCTTTCCTAACTTACAATTTCAAGCACAACACCCTGGGTTCCATGTCCTACAGGCCTTGCTGGGAGTTCAGTTACCACAACGTAAGAGAACCACCGTGAATACGAATATATGTACTAACTTTACGAGTCAGCGGATGGCAGCTGTCTCCCACTTTGCCCATAGGCGTGCAAATCCTTATGCTCTTAACCCAGATACTAACAGCACAGCACATGCCTCCGGCACACTGGGGGTCCTTGTCGCAGGCCTGAAATGTAACAAACAAACAGATAAATGTAGATGGTGGGCAAGACTCTGGCTGAGGAAATCTAAAATTAGCAGTCAAAAATGCTCTTTATATCTCCAATCACTAGGATTTTAATAATCACACATATAAAAAAGAACTGTAATCTTCATTTGCTTGCACATATTTACCATAAAATCTGAACAGAAGAGATCTTCCTTGTTTAAAAAAAAATGGCCTAAAGAATGGCCCACATATTACAAAAATCTTAAATAAACACACAGAAAATCACCTCTCTTTTTCTAGTGTTTTGTGGCTGAATTGGCTTTGAATTTGAAAAACAAGTCTGGATTAGTCTTATACCATACATGGCCATTAGGAACTACATAAATTGAATCACAAGATTTTATGACTATTAACCGCAGAATACGTTGGGCCCAATTTTTAAAAAGGACTTAATTTATTTATTTTTTTAAAGGGATTTAAATGGTCTCTAAATCTGGCATGAAATGCTCCAGAACCACAAAGGTACTGATATAAATTTTAAAAATGCTCATTTTCCCTTTCAAATATTTGCATTTGGTTCATGAGACTTGATGTTTCTCAAATCACTGGCTTGATTTTCACATTTCCTCTTTAAAGAAAGAAATTTCATAGGTTGGGAATGGACAAACCAAGATTTTTTGCCTTAGGTTACTGTTTTGTTTTGTTTTGTTTTGTTTTTTCAGGTGAGTAATCTGCAAAAAGGAAATTATTGGCTTAGGGTATACACATGTGTACATTACAAAATCAGTTGAACTATTCTTTAAGATTAATCAGATTTAGAAATTCAAATGACATGCAATTCTCAACAACGATTACTCGAGGCATCTGTTCTCAATATAAAAATTATAAATACAAATAATTAAAGAATCAACTATGGAGGAGTTTTTATACTCTATCTAAATAGAAATAAATAATGCTGTCTGAATTTATTTGCATGAAAATAGATCTGAAGAACTATTGTTCCTTCCTAGAATCAACAAAAAAATAGGATGCTTTGTTTGAACGGTATGTTAATAATCTGTTTTGCTAGTGATAAGGTAAAAATATGCTGTACTATATATGTAAGAAACTAAAAAGTCTATAATTTAGACAATTTTTTTTATATTTATTGGAAACAACGAAAACATTCCTTCAAGGCTTTTCTCCTTCAAAGTTTGGGGGCCAGCCACAAGTCTTGAAACATAAGTATATGAGCTCACCTTCATTCACTGTTTTTTTTGTTTAAAATTATCAACCATCCTATTCTAAGGTTGGTTTATTTCCCTCATTAGAGTTTTTTTCTCAGCCTATTTAAAATGACTGTGTGGACAAAACTCCAATTTTCACCTTGGGGCGTTAGGACATTCAGAGGAAAACATCCAAACATTTCCATTTTCCAATTTTTAGCTGTATGGCAGAGACATGTATACGTGGCCATGACAATTTGTAAATGAGAAGTACAGTATGTGATCTTTTCCAATATGGTTTTAACAAATCTATGTGGAACATAAATCAATTTCAAAATAGCTACACCTATTACCAAAAAAGGTAAATATTTAAGGTGGAGTTTTCAGGCAGTATTTTCTGTCAACAGATGCTCAAGACCTGGAATTCGGAGGCCCCACTAACCCTTTTTAAAAGACAATGAAAATCCAGCCAAAATTTTTCCAAAATTCGGTCAGTCACTTGGATATTTAACATCCTGAGGATGATAAGTTACCAGGTTTTTCATTTGGCTCCAGATGGTTCCTGTCATGAAGACATAAATACATTTCTTTATTGCTACATTGCTTAGAGGAATTTTTAAAAAATTCTCTTTTGGTTACACTGAGTTAAAACAACAAAAACAGCTCATAGAAGTCCACTCTAAGCCTCCCTAACAGATAAATATCCCATATGATAAAATTTCACTTTTGTAACAAAAAACTTCACTTCTTGGAAATATTTACAAAGAAATGCATAGGTTTATATAATTTTAATTAGACTGCTGTTTCCTAATGCCCTTCATACTTAACCCATTGCAGATCTATTCAAATAGTGTTGTCCTGTGAATGGAACAAAAAGATACTTATATTGCAAAGGAATTCTGGGCTCAGAGGATTAGCAGAAATTTAAAATGAGCCAGCAGGGGAAGAGTGGGAGAAAAAAACCAATCATGTTCCAACTCTTATCTTAGAAAGACCTGTAAAAAGTTTTTTTCAACCACACTGACTGACTGACAAAGCTATTCAAATACACTTTCAAAAAACCTCTATTTTAATAAATATCACAATGCTTATAATCCTATTGCATATAACCAAATACTGTTATTGTACGAGGGATTTCAAGATACTATAAACCTAGGAACTCACTTGGGAGACTATGGAACTTTTATTTTCTCAAGACCAGGACAGATTTCCCTCAAATTTCAATATTTCATTATGTATCATCAATTCAAATTTATTTAAAATCCCATAATGTGCACTTAGATAATTTAAGTAATTTAATGGAGGTGTAAAATAATTTAAGACTTAAAAAAAAAACAAAAGATAAAAGAGTAAAGCAGGGGCACCTGGGTGGCTCTATCCTTAAGTGTCTGCCTTCAGCTCAGGTCATGATCCCAGGATTCTGGGATCAAGCCCCGCTTTGGGCTCCCTGTTCAGCTGGGAGTCTGCTTCCCCCTCTCTTACTCTCCCTGCTTGTATTTCCTTTCTCTCTGTCTCTCTCTGCCAAATAAATAAATAAAATCTTTTTAAAGAATTAAAAGAGTAAAGCAGTTGAGCAATCAGGAAAAGGTAGGGATTTTGCATTGTTGATGTAAAGTAGACTACGGTAAACTCATCCTTCAGATCCACACAGAAAACTGTTGGTGAGAATAGGAGAGAACTCACTCAGTTCCTACTTCCGGAAATAATGAGGACAACTACACGAAGTTGAAACAAACATCTACATTGTAACCTACTCCATAATTACGCCTGAGCCCTGGTGGTGTTTTATCAGGAATTGGAACTGGAAACGTTTTACAAGGAAAACCTCAAGAAGCTGGGGGGTGGGCGGGGGTACCCTCTGGAAACCAGAAGGAAGCGCCCACATTGCTTTGCAAAACATACACAGGGCCTCGGACCAAGTTATTTCAAGGGGTTTCTGTGGAGAGGGCAAGGGGAGCAAACTCCTCGACCAGAAGGTTAAGTCTCAGGAATGGGAGATACTCGTCTTGCCCCCTGTGCATTTCAGAAAGGGCCTCCCAAATTTTACGGTTCGAGGTTGGAACGCCTCGAAGAAGTGCTAGAGAAGACTCTGAAAGCAAACTTCTTTCAGCTTAACAGAAAAACAGACCAAACTCGAGGAGAGAGCTTGCAGGGTTCCAAGAGGGAAGCAAGGGGGAGAAGGTGGTGATAAAGGAGGTGGGTGACACTTTGGTCACTTTTTCTTCCATAGCGCACCTAAGATCCCGGGCCGTCCGCTGCGTTTGGAGTAGGGCACCTCTCCCAGAGCGCCAAAGGGCATCTGGGACAGATGTCCCCGCCCGGGGCGACCCTCTCCGAGCCGCTCCCCTCCCAAGCCCCCCGGGGCGCAGCGCGGGCGCGCATCCCGGGCGGACAGGTGCGCCCGGGGCTGCTTACCCCGGTGATGACGGCGGCGTCCCCGGCGGGGGGTATGAGCAGCAGCGGCGACAGCAGCAGCAGGAGCAGCAGCGGGGCGCAGCGCGGGCCCCTCATGGCGTCCTCGGGACTACGCGGCGGTTGGGGGGCCGTTGGGGGCGCGGGGCCGGGGCGCGCTCGCTGGAGCGCGGAGCGGAGGGCGGGCGGACTGGCGGGCGGCTGGCGCGAGCCTCCGGGCCGTTATAAAGGCGAGCCCCGCCGTGACTCACGCCGGCGCCCGCCCGGCAGCACGCGCTGGGGGCACGGCGCGGGTACACACCCCACGCCCCCACGCGCACACGCGCGCCCACCCCGGGCCGGCGTCCCCGGGACGAGCACGTGCCGGCGCGCGGCTCCCAGCGCCCCCGCCCCGGGCGCCACGCAGGCAGCGCCCCCCGCGGGGCGCCCCGCTCCCGGCCCCGCGCCTAGCCTCCCGCCTCTCGCCTCCGCCCGCCGCCGCTCCTCGCACGCGCGGCAGCCGCTTTGTGGTCTGAGACGCGCTCGTTCACTGCCCTGGTTTCCAAAGCTCCACGTGCTCGGCGCCGAAAACTTGCAGCTCATTTGCTGTGCAGATGTTTAGGGAGCGCCTACTACGTGCCAGGCGGTTAGACACCCCGGGGAGGCGGCGAGAGGAGGGACAGGAGCCTCCGAACCCGTTCAGTTGTTCAGCAGGTCTTCACAGGGCGCCTGCTGCATGCCAGGTACTGGCCACTGGGGTCTGGCCTCATGGTCCAATAACCGAACAGAAAAGACACATCAAATACACGGGGAAACGTGGAAGACAGGAAAAAAGAACAAAGGGCAAGCAAAATCACCCCTAATCCCACATCCCTGACGACACTGTGCGGTTTGTCCTTCCAGCTGTGGGCGTCCAATTTCTTTCTTTCATTTCTAATGCTTTCCTTTATGCTCACATCTGTTCCCGACCCTCGCCTCCCTGATTCTCCTCACATGCATTTCCTCCCTTCTGTAACGTCGCGCCAGCGCCAGCGTCAGGCAGAGCAGTTCAGGAGGATGCCAAGTGGAAATGAGAACGCCTGGCTTCGGGGCCGCCAGGATGAGGCCCCCTGAACTGTAGGTAGGCAGCTCTCTCTTTTACTTTCCAGCCCAGGAAAATCACCCTTCAGTCTTGGAAGATGCCATACATCATCACTGTGATGAATTCATTCACGCAAACAGGACTTGAGTGCCTACTGGGTTCTAGGCTACCCACGAGAGAACGGGTGACAAATTTGCCTTCCATCTCTGACCCAAGCATAGATCCAAGAATCACAGCCCGTTTTTCTTCAATGAAAACGATTTCAAGAATACCTCGCTGTGACCACTGCCAACTTTGCTTGCGCAGAGGTTTTGGGAAGCCCAACTATGTTCCTGTATGGTGAGAACCTCTGGCTTTCCCTGGTCCCTTAGGGACCAGAAACTGTTGGGAAGCAGATGCGTCTTTCAGCCTCTTTAATAAACGCAGTGAGGAGAGTCGGGACAAAGTTACTTTCAGACTGTGGGGTTCCCCATGCCAAAGCATTCAGACTAAATGTGGAAAAAAAAAAAAAAAAGGAAGGCAATTATCTGAATGTTAAACAGCTGAATATTTGGAAAACCAAATTTTTGATGGAGTTTTAAAATCTTTTTGCCTGTGTTTTTGTGTTTGAGAAACATTCTGAAACAAAACAAAACAAAACAAAAAAAGAATTAAACTTGTTTTAACTTTAAAAAATTGTTAAAATTGGACTCCCAGTAGAGTGAATGGAAACAGTAGCAAGTGACAGATTGGTGGAAAGTTTCCTTTTCCAGTCTCCATGCCAACGCTAGCATGGGAATGCTGCCGGGGAAATGTAAAAACCAGTCAACATGGGTTTTAACATTCCTACGATTTTTTAAAAATGGTCTATTTCATATTTGCTACAACTGAGTGCCAGCTTGGGTATTCCCTGCTTCTCCAAGCATAGAAAACAGGATGTGTCTACACAGGAAAATCAGATTTCAAAAGTGGATGGCTTCATACATGGCTGTTGGGAAAACAATCATCATAAGACTGTTTTGAAACAAGGTTGGAAGCACTTAAAAATAGGGTTGGTTGGTTCCATGTTGTTTCTTTTGATCATGTTGTTTCTTTTAATCACTTTTAATGCTGTAGAGGAAAAATGATGGCTCCTGATATGACAAATCTTTGCATCCATGGCCAGCTTAGAGAATTAAAGTCTGAAAGTTCCATCTTATAAAGGGAAAGATGAAAGGTTGAGTTTGGATTAGTTCAGACAAATCAGGTGGAAAGGCCCATTTAACAACACTGAGATCGAAATTGAAGAGTAGCTTAACTATTTTATTCTATTTATTACTGCAAACCATTGATACTGCGACATGGTAAGTTCAGCCCAGGGATGACTGTATAAGGAAAACCAAACTTGGTGTAGTTCAAGAGTATAGACTACCATATACTAGCAGGCTACCAAGGCTGATCTGAATTGAAGGGTCAGTCAAGTCCATAGGAACCCAAATTCGTTGATCAGACCAACCTGGATTTGAATCCTGAATGACCATTGGGCAAGCTGCTTAAGGCTTTCTAAGCTTGTTTCCTCACCTGTAAAACAGATACAAAATACCAGCCCAACACGGTACAGCCTCCACAAGGATGAAAGGATAGAACACCTGTAAACTGCTTACCATAAAACCTAGAACGAACCAGATGTCCTGTTGGCGTTCCCTCTTATTAAGTCATATTATCTGGTGTCCTCTGATAATTTCAGCCAACGCTGATGGTTTTTTTTCACCCACCAGATTAGATTATATACTCCTTATAATTGGGTTCCTTGTGTCCAATATCCCATACATCCCTGTTGGCACACAGCACAAGGATACGCATATGGCAGGCACTCAGTAACTAAGGACCAAGAGGAATATAGAGTATGGAAGACAGTCCAGAGACAGGTCACAGGAAATAGATATACAGCGCAGGCATGTTTAATTTGCATGAATCAGCAAAACGTCATCATCAAATAGCCATTGGGATAAATACTTGACCCGGGGCAGGTGATTCAGCCCACCACTCTAACTCAGGGGGCGTCACGGAACTGAATGGAGGTGAATGGGGAGACACAAACCTGTCCCACTGCAGTGACCCAGGGAACCAGGCTGAGGAAGTCTCCACCTCGGCGTGTGCTGCACAGGGAGAACGGGTTTCCTTGCATCCCTGCCGAAAGCTATGTTCAAGTTGTCACCCTTGGTACCTGGCTGTGGGGCCTTGTTTGCAAGGAGGGTCTTTGCAGATGTGATCAATTTAAGATGAGGTCATCCTGGCCTAGGGTGGGCCCCAAATCTAATAACTGGCATCCCTATGAGAGAATGGCATGGGGGACCTTGACAGAAAGACACAGAGGAGACACAGGAGGAGACCACCACGTGAAGACCGGGCAGAGATCTGAGTCATGTTTCCACAAGACAAGGACTGCCATGGATTGGCCAGCAAGGCCCAGAATCTGGAAGTGTCAAAGGAAGATTTCTCCCTAGACACCTCCGAGGAAGTATGGCCTTGTTCACACCTTGATTTTGGACTGTTAGCCTCCTGAACCAGAGAGAATGATTTTCTGTTGTTTTAAGCCAATCCGTCATGACGCATTCTTTCAGCAGCCACGGGAAACAAACACAGGCAGGTGGAACTGGAGGGTTGCATGCCTGCTTTTGAATCCCTCTGCCTCAAGTTGATGCCAATCACTTTTGCTCAAGTTTAAATGGCCAAAGCAAATCACATGACTCAGCCTGTCTTCAAAGGGCTGGACAATGTAAATCTTAGCGGAACCAGAAGTCTGGTGAGCAAGGCCATATGTTACAGGAGAGGAGGGATCCATCATGGCTTGGATTCCTGGATGGGCATACTAAACCCTGGATGAATATAAATGGTAATGTGTTACTTCCTTTGTGTTTCTTCCTAGTTCAGTACTCCTTATGCTAGAATTATACAAAGACTCTGCAAGAGAGTAAATGTATAGGCTAATATTTTGGGGGGTGGGTGGGTAATAAGCCATCATTCATACATTCAGCAGACATTTACTAAATACTTACTATATGCCAGATACTGTGCGAGGCACTAGAGGTACCATGGTGAGTAAAACAGATGTAAATCCAGTCCCCTGGGAACTTACAGTCTAGTGGGAAGGCCATGAATCTAATAATCATACAATTACATAATTACAGGAAACAAATGTAGTGCATTAGGACATGACACAGGGGGAGACCTGCAGGTTTCCTTCAAGTAAAGAAGCAGAAGCTGAGATCTGAAGCTTGAGCAGGATTTAAATGGGATGGAGAATGGGGGCAGCAGAAGTGGAGAGTGCTGGGTACTCCAGGCAGGGGAATCAGCTTGTGCTGGAGATTAGAAAGAGCATTTGTGTTCAAGGAGCTGAAGAGAGACGAGCGTGGTTGGAAGAATGAGCCTAAAGAGAAATCTGATACAAATATGGGGCCGGAGACGTGGTAGAAACCCAATGCAGGGTCATAAGCCTAGAGGAATTCCATCTTTATGTGGCCAGGGAAGACAGAAAACATAAGGATGAACCAGGCATAATGAGACTAGCTTTTGAAAAGAAGACCTTCATTGAAGTGTGATGCAACGTGTCCAGAGCCAAACTCCTTGTGGCCCCCACCCAAACCTGTTTCGTTGAAGGCAAATCCATCCTGCTGAGGTTGACCTTGGAGTCATCTTTGACCCTCTTTCATAACTCATATCCAATCTATCCAGAATCTTGTTGACCTTGCCCTCATAATATATCTAGAATCTGACCACTTTGCCCTCTTTATGGCCACCCTTCTTATTCTGAGCCACCATCATCTCCAGCCTGGATTGCTGCCATCAGCTCCTGCCTGGTGTCCTGGTTTCACCCCTGCCCTCTATATCCCATCATTGCCCCAGCTGCCTAAGCTCTTCTTTAAAAATACAAGTCAGGGGACACCTGGGTGTCTCAGTTAGGGTTAGGAGGCTGACTCTTGATTTGCAGCTCAGGTCATGAGGCCGGAGTCCAGGGACCGAGCCCCTCATCTGGCTCTGTGCTCAGCAGGGAGTCTGTTTGGGATAACCTCTCTCCCTCACCCTCTGCTCCTCCCCTGACTCACACACTCTCTCTGTTTCTGGAATAAATGGATAAGTCTTTTAAAAAAAAATTGTAAGTCAGACCTTTTGGTCAAAACCGTT